GAGTATAATCCCAAGAACACCATCCCAACCGTGAACCATGGGGGTGGAAACATCATGCTTTGGGGGTGCTTTTCTGCAAAGGGGACAGGACGACTGCACCGTATTGAGGGGAGGATGGATGGGGCCATGTATTGCAAGATTTTAAAAATAAACAAATTAATAAATGAATAAAAAAATATTAGCCTCTCTGCCCTCTAAGATACCAGCATCGGCTGCCAAAAAAACTATATGTGACCCTGGACCAAAAATCATTAGGATATTAAGTAAAGATCATGTTCCATGAAGATATTTTGTAAATGCCCTACCGCAAATATATCAAAACTTAATTTTTGATTAGTAATATGAATTGGTAAGAACTTCATTTGGACAACTTTAAAGATGATTTTCTCAGTATTTAGATTTTTTTGCACCCTCAGATTCCAGATTTTCAAATAGTTGTATCTCGGCCAAATATTGTCCTATCCTAACAAATTATTTATTTATTATTTGTTCATCTTATTTATTCAGCTTTCAGATTATGTATAAATCTCAATTTAAAAAAATTGACCCTTACGACTGGTTTTGTGGTCCAAGGTCACATATCGGTCGACCACTAGTCAGAACATGACAAACACTTCAGTCAACCTTAATAAAATAAATATCTTAATAGAAAAATGAATTTCTTCGTTTCTGCATGTTCTACTGAGTGAGTTTCAAATCATGGAACATGTTTGTGTTGTCTGACTTTGATGACGTGTATCTTCAGCATAGTTTGCAGTGCAGGCTGCAATATTTATAATATTACTTTTTTTGTCTCTTAGAAATGCACATTTGACAGTAGCTTGAGTTAGAATGCAGATGTTTGTTCATTATCAAAAACAGTAACATCTGTAAAAATTGTTAGAACTTCATTTTTTATTTGGTGATATGTAATTATTCTGAGTGTTTGAGTTTAATGAGAAAGACATTATTTTTTAATAATAAAGTTGTCACCATTCCTGAACAAGCTTAAGATTAGGCATCATACACAACAATGTTCTACAACAGTGCTTCTCAAAGTCCGGACTCCGGCCCGGATCCGGACCCGGAGGGAATTCAGTCCGGACCCGCCTCCATTTCGTATTTAAAGAATACGAATTATTTCCTACTTTGATAAACGCATGTTAAACTTGTAAATCATATAAATCATAGTTTTTAAATGTCTTTTTGGAGATGGTCCGAAATGAAAGTGAAGGCGAGATATTGAAAATGTTCCTTCATGACATTTGTTGTCATGACATCCAGTGAGCGTATGACATAATCGGACGACATTTCACTGCTAATTTGAGTAATTTTTTATTTATTTATTTCTGTTATCACTTAGATTATGGCCATTTGACGTATAGCAGTGTCCAGTGTTTCCCATACATTTGAGTTATTTGTGGCGGCCCATCACAAAATCAAAACTGACCGCCACAAATAGATTTTCCAAAAGGATTCTACTTCGTTGAATAAACTGAGCACTGCACATTTTAAAATTAAAATGCAGCGCGGGTGTTTTTATATGAATGTATAATTGAAAAGAACCGACCGTCTTCAGAAAAGCTTTGATGTCATTTTCATTTCGTCTTTCCTAGCGTTTTGTATTTGATTACAGCCGTTAACAGGGAAAACGCTATATCTCCGCTCCAGCAGTGCCTCCTGCTGGCAGACAATGAATTTGCATTTGCATGTCTGTGGGAAACACTGGTGTCTTTCAGCAAACATAAACAATCAGAACTGTTTTGAGAAGGTGCTTTGAGCCATGTATTATTACTATGAATTAGGCTACTACTACTACTATTACCAGCTTGTGCCCTGCAATAATCATTTACTCAAACTCGCTTTTATGAGACAAAGGACAAAAAAAATCGGCCAAACATATCGGCCAAAAAAATCAGCATCATATATCGGTCATCAGCTGCCCTGATTTCTAAATATCGGCATTGGCCAGAGAAAAACCCTTGTCGGTCGACCTCTATTGCTGACACTTAAATTAATTGTTTTGCCGCTTTTGCACTTTATTTTTTCAAAAAAATTATGTTTATTTGTTATGCATGTTATGTATGTTTATTAAAAACATGTTTTGTAATAACCAATTGTCCTGGTCCAGACCTTTGACACTGATGAAAATTCAGATTTGGACCTTTGAATGTAGACTTTGAGAACCCCTGTTCTACAACGTTACATTACATCTCAAGGTTTTCTTTTAGTTGAAAATGTGTGTAAAAAAAATATATATATACACATATATATATATATATATATATATATATATATATATATATATATATATATATATATATATATATAAAGAGCAAAAGCATTCAAGCTCAAGAAGAGCAAACGGAAAAAATAAAGCAGACCATGCCAATTACAGTCGAGTCAGCCTATGTTTATCATGTTTATATTGTCTCACATCATGTTAATGTTGAGATAAACAATAATATCCACATGAAAGTCGGCTCCTCAGTCTGATAACAATAACAACGCATGCTGACACAGACGTTCCAGAGACACAAAGATAACGTGTGCCAAGTTTCTTACAGCGCTTTGTGTTTTCTGTTCTTAAACCACTCTCCCTGCAGGAAACTTAAAGAAAGCATATGTCTCAAGATCATTTGGCTATCAGATCAGCTCTCTTCTCGGCTCACTCGGGCTACAGCTTTGCTTACCTGCAGTCGTGAATGCAGTGATGGACAGCTGTCTTTCCTCAGCCCACTGATGTTTGAATTTCATGTGATTATCATTGTGGTGGTGATATTATGAGAACTCAGGTTCACTGATTTATTTGATCAAAAGTAATTCAATTTTGTAAGATCATTTTGATCAAAGTAATTCCAAACTTTGCGAGGCAGACGGTAACGTTGTGATCAAATAGGCTACAATCAACTGGTTAGCACGCTCCACAGCGCCACCCAGTGCATTTAGTTATAACTGACTTTTAGCTTGCGTGCATAGGATTTATCATGAATTCCCTGCATTTGCGGCCAGCAAAGCAACACGTAGTAAATTTTGAATAGTGTTTTTATTTTTCAAATAATCATTACAGATTGAATATTCGACTGTTTGTGCACACCCTTACAATGCATCATCCGACAGTATTTCTTGACCTACTAGCCTATTGATCAATTGGGCAATATTAATGCATGTATAACAGCCAATATTAAAAACAAAAGATCCTAACCAACATTAATATCTTAAAAAATTAGGCATATTTAATGTGTTGTAGCTTCAGCTTTTTCCACCCGTAATATAATTAATAAACTCAAATGAATTCTGATTAAACATATAAAAGCCATTTCTCCACACTCTAAAAAATGCTGGGTTAAATAAAACCCAGTGCTGGGTAAAATAGGGACAAACCCAGCAATTGCGTTGTTTTGACCCAGCAGTTGGGTTACTACCCAGAAGGTTGGGTTAAACATTTAACCAAACTGCTGGGTCAAAACAACCCAATTGCTGGGTTTGTCCCTATTTTACCCAGCACTGGGTTGTATTTAACCCAGCATTTTTTAGAGTGCAGGGTGACCTTTCGAGTCAACTTCTGTTTATGCAACACAAACTCTCTTCTCACACCAAGACACCATTTTTCCTAAAAAAGAAAAAAAAAACTGTCACCACCCTGAGCAAATGAAACGAGAGAATGCCCTGCCTGCCTATTTGTATTGCAAACTAGAGTCTACTTTCCAGCCAGGCAGGAAAAGACACCGGGAGGACGGCGCCTCCAGGAAAAGCAGGAGAGAGAGTGGAAAAACCCGATCCGTAGAAGATCCGCAGATACCTACAGTTCAGCTGTTTAACAACTCAACAGCAACAAACAACACAAAGCACTAATGAATACAAGTAGAAAAGACTTACTTCAAAAATAAAGAGGATGGAGTCCAGCTCCTCCCGTTGAGATTTGTTCCCTGAAAAAAAAGCAATAGAAATAGTTATGTCAAATAGTTGTGTCATTTTACATTCACCCTTTATTATTGTTTATTGACTCAGGCTTGTGCTTTTGCAGTGATTAACTGTACATTTTTTATCTATGTTGCTAGAATGCTGGAATGTGTTGTCAATATTTAATAATCTTCAATGAATCAGGGATGAGCATGAGTACTTGAATACTCGAAAGTGACAGTGATGAGAGATCATGAAAATGACGATCCTGTGACTTCAAACGGTATATATAATCAGGGGTGCACATAAGTGGTACGCAGGTGCGCATGCGCGACCAACATAAAAAATGCGCAGTGTAAATAAGTTCTGAAAGCACATTTGCGTACCGACATGGTTGACAGCTGTTGCACAATTACCATTTTAGATAGACAAACTTTAATAGTGTATAAGATTTATATTCAAACTGAATAGATAAATAAATCTAGGCTACCCGCTGCCGTTTTCAAATCACAATGCAAAACTGTGACATTTCATTCACTGATGCGCTTCAGTCGGCAACGCTAAACCCGGAAGTGCATATTCTTACTTGCTGGCAACCCGGCAAAATAAAAGCCTACTGATTTTACGTTTGAAATGATGAAAATTCATCTTTAAAAAAGAAGTAAATATTAGCATTTTATTTTTAAGTTTACTATAAAATAGTTGTATTTGTATTTAATACTCCCTTTGTATTTTAAAATATAATAGTACTATCACACTTTATTATTTAGTTTATTATTTTATTTAAAAAACTAAAGGCGATACAATATTATCACTACGATTAATTTATATATTTTTTTATAGTTGTATTTAATGGGTTACACTATGTGCAGCGTGAGGACCAAACCAAATCTCCAGGTTATCTTATGAGAACCAGGCTGAAAAACTTATGTGCACCCCTGTATATAATCTTTTTTTAAGGCATCATTTTGGGCAGGACTTTGAGGTCTGACTGCTTAGCGTTGGAACGGCATGCCATACAGGCTGGATAATTCAAGTGAAACTATGGCTTTGAAAGTGTGCACTGAAGTCTGGAATACATGAAGTCACCACAATCTCATTGTTGATCATTGTTAGTTCATGTTAGCTTACACATTAACTAACGTTAACGAACAGAGCTTATTGTAAAGTGTTATTGTAAATTATTTGTGCTTTAGCTGCCCATGTTTTAGCATGTTGTTACGGGAAGAGCACATTTACGATAGGAGATACACATTCAGACTAGCAAGGTCGAATTCACTTGCATTCCTTTTAAATGTTTGTTTAAAAAAATATATTATTAATAATCTTGCTGTGTTACATTTTTCTTCATATTTGTTTTTCTTCACAAGCATGTTTTAATGAAAATTTCTCTTCATGGCTTCTGAAATGCATAGGGATGTCTTTGAAAGTTGCCAGCCACCGCCAGCATTTTTGATCATTTTCACAAAATCAACACTTCAGTGGGTGGGTAAGTTTCATAAAAAAAAAACAAAAAAAAACACTCCCACAGCCTACACAGTCCTAAACCACTTCCTGCATCAACATTTTATTTGGTAACATTAAGCAGTTTTGATTTATGTGCTGATTAATGTTTGACGATCGTGCTATTTTGCATATGCATATGCTTACATATGCGACCACTAATTTCTGCTTCTTCTTCACCATGTTTTGATCCAGAAGTTTAATAATCTTTCAGAAGATGTGTGATAGCGCCTCCTACCATATAACAGCCAAGCTGTCATAAAGATAACATTATAATGAGAAGACTGTTGTAACAGAATTCTTTGTGCTTTAGTTGCCCGTGTTTTTTAGCATGATGCTACGGGAAGAGTGTATCTAAAACAAGAGTTACATATTCAAGACTTCATCAAATTTCATCCAAAATTTCCACACGCTACAAAATAAATACGACCTCACGTTATGTCAATCAGGTTTACACACTGCCTCTGAAATTTTTGTGCGTCATAAAAAAATTCGGATCGGGACCGTTTTTCGCATCCGTTCTAAGCATTTTGAGAGGCATTTTGACAGTTCAGAGCCACCGTACAAGCGAACGCTAAAATCCAGAAAGAATGGCGATTATCAAGTTCATCCACTTCATCTCGCAACACAAAGCACCGTAAAGATCCTTGCACACCGAGTTCACAGAAATTGGTGGTCTTCTTTTTAATATGTGGCTCTAGTATCGCTAGCAAAGCATCAAACTGAGCCACTGACATCCTGAATTAAACTTTGAATCACCCAGGATAATCCCGCTGCTCCTGAGGTTCTGTGCGTGACGAATTTTTAGGATTTCGAATACGAAAATTTCAGACTCAGTGTGCAGAATGCAAACATGTAAATTATAGTTGTGTTAAAAAAAATACCAGTACAACATCAGTAACCTGATGAACCACTGTTATTAGCAGTAGTAATATTTCTGCACTGCAAATAATTTACTTGTGGATGCAGTGGTGTAATAGAAAAACAACAGCCCAAACTGGTATGACATTCATGCTGATGCTTTGAAAGGGGTGTGGAGTTTAATTATAGAATTAATTTATTCTGTGAATAAAAACAGGTGTCATGAATTGTCCTTCATTAAGGAGGAAGGGAAGAAATGTTTCACACATTGTTATAAAAGTAAAATGGGCCATTCCAAACATTGTTCGGAGGAAAAATTTAATTTGATTAAAAAGTTGATTGGAGAAGGAAAAATGTATAAAGAAGTGCAGCAAATTATAGGATGCTCAGCTAAAATGATCTCAAATGCTTTAAAATGGCAACAAAAACCCGAAACACGCAAAAGAAAACCAGGAAATGGGTGTTTCAACAAGACAACGACCCCAAACACACAAGTAAGTGAGCAACATCTTGGTTTGAGAATTTGAGCAAAGAATTTAGGTATTTCACCATCTACCATGCATAATATTGTGAAAAGATTCAGGGAATCCAGGGAAATCTCAGTATGTGTAGGGCAAGGCAGGAAACCTCAGTTGTGTGTGACCTTTGAGTCCGCAGAAGGCACTGCATGAATAACCGTCATGCTGCGGTGGTAAATATAGCCACATGGGCTTGGGAGTTCTATGGAAAACCGATGTCCCTTAACACAGTCTGCCACTGCATCAAGAAATGCAACTTCAATCTCTATTTACACAAGGAGAAATCTATACATCAATTCTAGGCAGAGATGCCTGCGAGTTCTCTGGGTCCGAACTCATCTCAGATCGTCCAAAAGACCGTGGAAATGTGTGCTGTGCTCAGATGAGTCCACATTTCAGCTTGTTTTGGGGGAAAACAAACATCACATTTTCAGTGGCAAAGACAAATAGGAGCATCCAGACTTGCAAAAGCAAACGTCTGACATGGTATGGGGTTTAACAGTGCAAACGACATGGGTGACTGGAATATGTGTGAAGGTACCATTGAGGTGGAGGCATATATTGGGATTGTACAGAGATGTACAGTGGTGTGAAAAAGTGTTGGCCCCCTTCCTGATTTCTTATTTTTTTTGCACGTTTGTCACACTTTAATGTTTCAGACCATCAAACTAATTTAAATATTAGTAAAAGATAACACAAGTGAACACAACATGCGGTTTTTAAATGAAGGTTTTTATTATTAAGGGAAAACAAAATCCAAAACTACATGGCCCTGTGCGCAAAAGTGTTTGCCCCTAAACCTAATAACTGGTTGGGCCACCCTTAGCAGCAACAACTGCAATCAAGCGTTTGCGATAACTTGAAATGAGTCTGTTACAGCGCTGTGGAGGAATTTTGGTCCACTCATCTATGCAGAATTGTTGTAATTCAGCCACATTGTAGGGTTTTCGAGCATGAACCACCTTTTTAAGGTCATGCCACAGCATCTCAATAGGATTCAGGTCAGGACTTTGACTAGGCCACTCCAAAGTCTTCATTTTGTTTTCTTCAGCCATTCAGAGGTGGACTAGCTGGTGTGTTTTGGATCATTGTCCTGCTGCAGAACCCAAGTTCGCTTCAGCTTGAGGTCACGAACAGATGGCCGGACATTCTCCTTCAGGATTTTTTGGTAAACAGCAGAATTCATGGTTCCATTTATCACAGCAAGTCTTCCAGGTCCTGAAGCAGCAAAACAGCCCCAGACATCACACTACCACCACCATATTTTACTGTTGGTATGATGTTCTTTTTCTGAAATGCAGTGTTACTTTTACGCCAGACGTAATGGGACACACACCTTCCAAAAAGTTCAACTTTTGTCTCATCAGTCCACAGAGTATTTTCCCAAAAGTCTGGGGGATCATCAAGATGTTTTCTGGCAAAACTGAGACGAGCCTTTATGTTCTTTTTGCTCAGCAGCGGTTTTCGTCTTGGAACTCTGCCATGCAGACCATTTTTGCCCAGTCTCTTTCTTATGGTGGAGTCATGAACACTGACCTTAACTGAGGCAAGTGAGGCCTGCAGTTCTTTGGATGTTGTTGTGGGGTCTTTTGTGACCTCTTGGATGAGTCGTCGCTGTGCTCTTGGGGTAATTTTGGTCGGCTGGCCACTCCTGGGAAGGTTCTCCACTGTTCCATGTTTTTGCTTTTTGTGAATAATGGCTCTCACTGTGGTTTGCTGGAGTCCCAAAGCTTTAGAAATGGCTTTATAACCTTTTCCAGACTGATAGATCTCAATTATTTTCTTTCTCATTTGTTTCTGAATTTCTTTGGATCTCGGCATGATGTCTAGCCTTTGAGGATCTTTTGGTCTACTTCACTTTGTCAGGCAGGTCCTATTTAAGAGATTTCTTGATTGCGAACAGGTGTGGCAGTAATCAGGCCTGGGTGTGGCTAGAGAAATTGAACTGTGATAAACCACAGTTTTAACGGGGGGCAAACACTTCTTAACACAGGGCCATGTAGTTTTGGATTTTGTTTTCCCTTAATAATAAAAACCTTCATTTAAAAACTGCATGTTGTGTTCACTTGTGTTATCTTTGACTAATATTTAAATTTGTTTGATGATCTGAAACATTAAAGTGTGACAAACATGCAAAAAAAAAAGAAATCAGGAAGGGGGCCAACACTTTTTCACACCACTGTATACTGCCATCAAAATTACGTCTTTCATGGGAAGTGCATGGTCATTAGATCAAGACAACGTCAGATCTCAATCTGCATGTGCTACGACAGCGTGGTTTCATAAACACGTGGATGTGACTGACTGGCCAGCAGATCTGTCTCCTGTTGAAAATGTATGGCCCATCATGGAAAGAAGACTGATTGATACATGAGCAGCTGAAGTCTTGTATCAAGCGAGATTGAGGAAAATTTTTGCTTGCAAAACTTTAGAAATTAGCATATTAAATTCCCAAATGATTAAACATTGTAATTAAAAGGAAAGTTGATGTGAGAAGTGGTAAACATGCCTCTGTCCCAATTTTTTTTGGAGTGTGTTGCAGCCATCAAAATCTAAATTTGTTCATATGTACAAAATACAATTAAGTTGGCCAGTGAAATCATTAGGAATCTTTTCTTTGTACATTTGTCAAATAAATAAAGGTTAAAGAGAATTAAAAAAAATCATATTGTTGATTTTATGGCATTTTACAAAACGTCCCAACTTTTTTGGAATTGGGGTTGTATAGGCTAGCCTACTGTTTACATTGTTTAGTTTTGTGTGCAACCCACAAGTATAACCCAATAAAATATGCGCTTTCACACTACATTAGCTTTTTATCATTATCAATTCAGACTGTAAAATCCAGTAAAATTGTTCTGCTCTTGGGTGACAAATTCTGCAGTGGGTGCAAAGTAAATGATCGATCACTTTTTATACTAAACTTATCATGCACTATGAATATTGTTGGCTCTATGACACACTGTCTGTGATAATCCTTACATCATTAATGTCTGCAGCAAACACTGCAGGCAAGTTGCATGTTCATGGTTAATGCTTAGGGTATACAGCATCACAGGTTATCTTCATTTTATGCTCTGCAGTGCACTGATGCATGCATGCCATTTTAATTCCGGGACTTTAAGTTACTCAGTTAAAAACTGCTCAGCTGAATCATAAAATCACTCTCTTGACATGCGGAGAAATGACGAGGTGTGAGTTTCAAACAAATACTTCTACTGCAGAATTGTGTTTTAGCATGAAGGACAGATGACCTTCACTGAACACAGTGCAGGAAAACCTCTTTGGTCAATGGTGTGACTCAACAGAAACAAAAGCCTCATTAACTTCACATGAGGGGGCATGCAGGCAACAGCGAGGCAGGGCTGTTACATCAAGCTGAGGAACTGTAGACGTGAATCAGCTTTTTTTTTTTGCGCATTATTCAAAAGCCTTTTTCCAAAACCTTTGTGAGCTGCCTTTCTATCCAAGCAAGCTACATTCTAATGTAGCATGAAACTGAATATTTTACAATATGTGACTGATTTGGAATTAGAGATGCATGAAATTATTTCCATTACTAGATGTGAGGTGCGCTACAAATGAACTTTATTAAACTAATAAATCAACTGAAAAAAAGCACAGACTAAAATATCAATTTTGTACCCCCCCCCCCCCCCCCCCCCCCCCCCGCGTTCTTTTCGTCTTTCTTTTTTTTGTGTGGAAAACACTTTTCACCAGATTCAAACAAAAGAACATTTATGGTAACACACAGTTTAGGGACCAATTCTCACTATTAACTAGTTGCTTATTAGCATGCATATTACTAGCATATTGGCTGTTTATTAGTACTTTTAAAGCACATATTCTGCATCAGCACATTGTAGATCCCTATATCTAAACTTAACAACTACAGTGAGTAGTGAAAAGAATCACCCCCCTTTAAAATAATCACATTTTGTTGCTTTGCAGCCTGAAAAGAAGACGGACCGTTTTTGTTTTATCCAGCTGTATTTACTCAGTGCATCTTATAACATCCAAGTGAAAGATATGACACCAACATGTCCGGAAAAAAATAAAAAAATAAAAACCAGAATCACTGAGTTGGAAAAAGGATCAGCCCCTTGTGTCAGTATTTTGTTGAACCACCTTTTCCTTTAATTACAGCGTTTAGTCTGCTGGGATTTGTCTCTACAAACTTTACACATCTAGACTTTGCAATATTTGCATACTCTTCTTTGTAGAACTGCTCAAGTTCAGTTCAATCTGATGGTGAGTGTTTGTGGACTGCAGTCTTCAAGTCATTCCACAGATTTTCAGTGGGGTTTCAGTCTGGGCTCTGACAGGCCATGCAAGAACATTCAGCTTTGTCTCCTTCAATCACTGTGTGCTCAGTTCTGCTGTGTGCTTTGGGTCATTGTCATGTTGGAAGGTAAACCTTCTTCCCATTGACAACTTTCTGGCAGAGGGCAGCAGATTTTCCTCAAGAATTTGACTGTATTTTGCCCCGTGCATGTTTCCTTCTATCCTGACCAGTGCTCCAGCCCCTGCTACAGAGAAACACCCCCAGAACAGGACATCACCACCTTCATGTTTTACTGGAGGAATGCTGTTATTTGGATGATGAGCTGGATTACATCTCCGCCAGACATATCGTTTGGTGTTGAGGCCAAATAATTCAGTTTCAGTCTCATCTGCCTCAGAATCTTCAAGGTGTGTTTTGGCAAAGCTCTGTCTGACTGCATTTGGCTTTTCTTGAGGAGTGGCTTTTTTCTTGCAAGCCTCCCATACAAGCCACATTTGTGGAGAATCTGTGATATTGTTGTCACATGCACACAATGACCACTCTTTGTCATAAACTCCTGCAGCTGCTTCAGAGTTGCTGTAGATCTCTTGGTCGCCTCTCTGATCAGTTTCCTCCGGCTCTTTCATCCAGTTTGGAGCGACGTCCTGATCCAGGGAGGGTCTGTGTTTTACCAAAAACCTCCACTTCTTTATAATAGACTTCACTGTGCTTCTAGCCATTGATAAAGCCTTTAAAATGTTTTGTATCCATCTCCTGACTTGTGCCTGTTCACAACTTTATCCCGGAGATCTTTTGACAGTGTCTTGCCACCCATAGTTGATTGTTTGCTGCAGTTGCACTACCAAGGACTGAAATGCTCCAGGAAAGCTCTTTTCATGCTGAGCTGATCAAAATGAGCACAGCTGATCACAGCTGAAAGTCAAATGGCTTTGTGTGCCATTGAGAAGTTGATCAGCTACACCTAAACTAGTTTACAAGTAATTTTTAGGAGGGGGTGATCCTTTATCCTCAGTGATTCAGATTTTTAATTTTTTCTGACATGTTGATGTTATATCTTTCACTTGGATGTTATGAGTAAATACAGCTGGATAAAACAAAAACTGTGTCGGTCTTCATTTCAGGCTACAAAGCAACAAAAATCTATACCCACTATATTATATATATATTTTTTTGTTTGTTTGTTTGTTTTTTATTCTGAACTCCAGAAAGCAGACAAACATGTCTTACCTTTTTGCTTTAAGTTACTTTCCAGTGTGATGAAATTTTCATAGAAGATAAAATAAATCTGTGAGCAGTTGGTTTCAAAAAATGTCTTCAGTTCATTCCTGTCAGTAATATCTGTGGAGAAAACAAAAAATAAAGAATTAGACAAAACACATAACGGACAATAAGTCCAATATAATGTGCATGACTAAAACATTCCTTTAGATCACTCTGCAGTCACATATTGTATAATTAAATGCTGACCAAAAGATTCAAAGATATGAATGTACATATAGACAGTAGATTTCATCCAGACACAACTTTCATGAGATCGAAAAATCAACTGGTGCAGATTATGGCTGTATTTCCAAAACAAATTAGCAGGTTACCTAGACTGCATTTCTGTTAATAAAAGAGTACCAAGTCATCTGAAAAATGACACCAAAAAATTATGACTGGTTTATCTCCCATCTCGTCAGATGGGATACAGCTTGCGGCATTTCTCATTCATTCCTATAGTATCCGTAAAACGGCGATTGAGTGTCGCACAACTCTGACTGAAATTCAGTGACTTCAAGGCTGTAATGTGATTGGTTATTAAGGCACACGTGATCCAAGTTGACCGTTACGCTTTCTCCAATGGTAAGCAAAACAGACCCTCTCATCTCCCAATAGTAAGACAGTAGGCGCATTTTCATTACAGATTTGCGCAAAACTTTGGCGATATTTTCTGAATGTCGATAAAAAAGTATTGCAAAATGACGGCGTTTCCATTAACCAATGTTATGCGGCTAAAACATAACCTTTTGCCTCTCGCGATAAGTCATGGCAGCGGATTCTGGTGGGATTTTGACCGATTTTGGCTATATTTATTCAAAGGAGGCTTATGCGTGTATCTTTACAGAAGCAGCAAAGAGAGCCGCTTCAGAAACGTGCGTAGCGCGGCTGGAATAAACCATAGACTGTAGTGGCCGTAATCAGCTTCAGTGACCGTATCAGAGCCACACCGCACCGCAGACGTGTACAATGTAAATTGTCTAAGTATTAATAGTAGGGAAAGCCCCTTATACTGAAGCGTGGCCACTTATGAGGTGTTTCTTGGAGGTTATAGTACACTGAAGAATGATCATATGACTTTTTACATTTTATTGTGTTCAATATTTGAGGAGCTGCAGCGTACCTACAGCAGGCATCTATTAGAGAAAAAAAGGAGGAGGATATTAAAAACAAAGTTTATCCATTTTTACCGAGGCGAATTAAGGTAAGTTGTAAACACCACATCTGCGTTTGTGTGTACGTTACATCTGCCGGCGCCAGCATTTTTCAAATTAACAACGGTTGTTCACGGCGACGCAAAGAATTGTGGGTTATCTGTAGCAGCGAAGGATACACCTCATGCATCCTCCGAATTCCTGTGAAAGAAGGTCGCATTCGGAGTGTCCTACTTGCTTTTCTGAAATGAGACAGCCTCGATTACGTATGCAGCCTTCGAATGCGACCTCCAGAGGACGCAGCCTTCTAAATGAGACACAGTTTGTGTCTTCTTCTCTTGAATTGCATCAGGAGAGCTGAATTACAGTCTTGCACTACAGCGCCACACTGGTCAAATCGTGTAACTGCAGGGTCTTACATTAGGTCATATGAGATCAAACGACTACTCGACAACAAAACTATTTGTCGACATCGTCGATAATGTCGACTAATCGTTTTAGCCCTACATGAAATACATATATACTGTATGGTATAATGCAATAGGGCTGCACGGTTAATCGTATTTTATTGGTGATCTGATTTTGATAGGGCTTCATAGAAAGTGTTACCACATTTTCTAACAAAAAGTGCAAAGTAACAAGTAGAAAAAAAGATAAATGCACAAAGAACTTGTATGGAGATTTTTCCATCTACAGATTTTTCCCTGACCTTCTTTTCTCTGTAAATGAAGGGTGCACACTATTGCTGAAAAACACAATCACTACTTAGCAGTCAGATGTCCGTATGCACAAAGGCACAGTGCCCTAAACAGGGCCATACCTGCAGATGAAACTTTGTTTGTAAAAGCATTTTTTAAATATGAACGAGCACCTCACGTCTACACCACGTTATGTATGAGAAGCTGCAAAAGACACAGGCACAAGTGGAATGTACAAAACACGGTGACATCAATTTTTAAGTAAATATAATGGCCGATATATTGCGTCACCAAAAATGATTGAGGTCATGTACAAATATTGCGCGATAAGTCGATATTATTGATTATTGCGACAGGCCTAGCCAAAACATCTTTAAAGCTGAACTGAACAGATCCTATCCTTGCTGATGTTCAGATAGCTGTACAAATGGAGTGATGCATTGAGTAAGTTCACAGTAAGGTCAACAGTAGATTTCCAGTAAGTGCTCCTACTCTTCATGTGTATCCAAGCCTATTTTAGTCAAACTGCACTGGGCTACAGGCTCATCTAAAAATTGTAATTGTCACCAATTTTTTTAACCCCCAGTATTGTGCAGAAACTAAAAATTTGGTTTCAGAGCAACCCTACGGTTGGCAGAGGCTAATGTTCACATCTCACCTCCTCTTTCCTAAAGAAAGCAATCAAAGCAGCCCAACGCCCTTAGGCTGATGAAACACAGGGCAACTTTTTGAGCAATGTTACCGGGCAACTTTGGCTAATGTTGCCGTCAATGGGCAACCAGGTGAGACACAGGGCCCACGACCAATCTAAAGTATTCATATAGAAATGTGTTACCCATTCTCAATGGGAAAGTGTCCAAGCAATATTGCTCAAAAACATTTGCCCAGCAAAATTGCTCAAAAAGTTGCCCTGTGTATCATCAGCCTTATACTGGCTCCAGGGAAACACTGGCATTTGCAACAAATTTGTAGCAGTGGCACTGGCCTGATTTTTAATAGCAGCAGGGACAGATGATAGATGATGACAAGGAATGGATTTGATGGCTGAAATAATATTTTGTCTGGAGCCAGACTGACAGAGCTGTGAGAACAGCCATTTGACAAATGTGGATGAAGTCATACGCTGGGCCAGTGGTGCTTATGTCAGGACACGCTGTATTTTAGGTAACTGCCCACTGAATATTTACAATTTCTGAGAAAACGTATCAGAAAATCTAAATGAAATTGACATCGCGAGCATTGATATCACCATAAAAAAGCTATAAAAGCTGAAACACATTTGGATGGGTGATGGGCTTGCCCAGAGAAAGTCCAGATCTGATTAAAGTACAGTAAGTATTCACATCCTAAATAATGGCAAGATGTAAAACCTATCAGGATGAGCTACCTTATTATTACTAAATCTGTCATTACACATTACACATCTACAGGCCAAAAATGGAATTACTATTATGATTTTGAACTGGAAGATGGATTTGGAAGCTAAACTTTTCAACCTTTCTCCTCGCTCAGACCATGCCTGTGTCTATTAAATATTAAAGATATTTATTAAGCATTAAACTCTCAGGACTCACAGCAAATAATGACTTTAAATTCAACATGTCAATTTTAAGCTGGGCCTTTCTTTAGTCTGTATGGTGGGGATATATATTGAAAAATTCATAATAACTTCACAACGATTTTGCTGGTTAGCAAACATTGCAAATTATTTAATGTACTTAATCAGATTTAAACAGAATGAACAATTTATAGGCAACACATTTAATATTGTTGTTTATTAACGGTCTGAAACAAATTATACACCAAAAAAAATGCTGGTGTGGGATTTACTTTGAAACCATTCCCACTGAGCAATTGCTAGTAAATTTCACAAATGTATACTATACTATGTAAATGTACTGAGTATGTATACTATAATACATACTCCAAACTTTGTTTTATTTGCAACTTCAAAGAAAAAAAAAATTACAGTGTATCTGAACTGTTATGTATTGCCAATTCCGCCAATGTTTTTGATTTCTGATAATTAAGTAGCGGACATTTATAGCAAAAGCAGTTCTGCCAGAATTACAAAATGTTCAAACGCAAAATGCTTACACAATTAAACAACTTGACTTGCTTCAATTAATGACTTTTAAAACCCTACTAAGTTGAATGAATATAATGCACATATCTGATGAGTGCAAAAATAGATGTGTGCATGTACTTTCTTGTGTGTGAACTGAACATGCAAACAAATCAAACGTGTATTACTGTGGTGCGCTTATGGAAGTGTTGACACAGAGAGTCCAGGGCAGAAGAGCAGCAATAACAGCACAGGCGTGTCTCTTATCAGAGCCTCTCACATGCTCTGCTTTTCAACCCTCATTGCCTCTTCCTGCTGCCCAAGAAAACACACCGACTCACTGACAAAACCTGAGGTTTGCCTGAGTGTTTGTGAGTGAGAGAGGCAGAGATCAGTAATATCCAATGGCAGTTGGATGTCAAAGAGCTATGTCAACACCAGTGTATTTGTGATGTGAACGCGACCGTACCAAAGGTCATTTCATCTTCCCTCATTCAGTAACAGCTGGACTACTATAATCCTATTTTTGACAGCACTGTTAATAAGAAATGCCCATTTCCTGATTGCCTTAAAAGGAATATTCCAGGTTTAATTCAAGTTAAGCTCAAATCACAGCATCTGTGACAAAATAACTACCACAGATAAAAAAAAAAAAATTCCAACTTTAGTTAAGCACTTACAATAGAAATAAATGGAGCCCATTGAAAAGCAAAAATGTGATGCTCAGTAATTATTAAGGGTGTAACGATACCCTCATGTCACGATTCGATACATATCACGCTACACATGAACTCACAATACAATATTATTGCGATACTCCAAGACACATGGTAAAAGGTTAACAGAAAATGTACTGTTGATTAAAATGCTAAAGTTGGTATAACATTGGAGGTGGAAATCAATAGGCTTGGACTTGGTGCTGGTAACTCAATGCACAGCACAATGGTGACACCAGAATAAAAATATTCATGATTCTGAAGCTGAAAATACAGAATTATTTTAGATGAATATGCTTGCACTCTGTCACTGACTAGATATATTTAAAATAATGCAGGACAATTTTTACTGGTAACATAAGACATTTGGCATTACCAAGACCCACACATATTACCCCATTGCATTATTATACATTATATTCAACAATATACAGTATATAGTAGTTTAATGTAGTATTGCCACTAAAACAGGGCTGCCACTAACGACTATTTTCATTTCGATTAATCTATCGACTAATTTACCGATTAATCGGTTAATCTAAACGATTAATTTCCCACACAAAAAAAAATCAACAATTTTAAAGAACATTTTATTAAACTTGCAACTTTGCCATTCAGTAGTGTTCCATAAAAAAAGTATAAATGTAAACAAACCTAATAAAAATGAAATAAAAAAAGAAAATAATTACAAAAGTCTGAGAAAGTCAGCATGTTTTTAATGTCAATATATCCACATGTTCTGGGCTTCTGTTCATTACAGCTGTGAGCGCAACTACAAAGGGGGAAAAAATATGTTTCAATCAACCCCAACAGTTGGGTTTTCACATTAAATAAATGCAATGTTTAGAGTCCACTAGAATCAAGTATTAAAAATGTATTATTAAAAGTTATTATAAAACATTTTTTTTTAAGTATTAAAAGTACTCTTAGAAATGTGTAAACAACAGATTTAAACAGACATCTCCAGCATGATGAAAAAAATGAACAGAGGACTTCAGTAGAGAAACTCCAAATTAAATTCAAATTTCTATGAAATTCTTTTTTAAAGCAAAAGTAAAGTGCAACATAGAGTGCAAGAAGCAAGTGTCCATCTCATAGTCCAAATCACTGAAAATTTTTGCAGGCTACATCCAGTCAAAGGATTCCAAGTGATTGGGAATTTCACATAATGGTGAAAGATTTTCCCACAGATTTCAAAACGCGATTTGACGCGTTAACCAACAGAAAGATGCTTGGTTTGAAAGTGACTTGTGTGCTTTATATATCGCTAAACTATTGACAACAGACAACGCAAAATTGAACCTGCAAAATTTTGTTTATTTTTATTATTTTAGGGCTGCCACTAACAACTATTTTTATTTTGATTAATCTATCGACTAATATGTCGATTAATCTAGACGATTAATTTCCCGCAAAAAAAAAAAAATTTTCAACAATTTTACTTAAGAATATTTTATTCAACTATATTTCATTAAACCAAATGAAATCCAAAAGTAAAAAAGTGCAACAAATGCAAGAAGCAAGTGTCCATCTCAGTCCAAATCACTGAAATCAAAGTTCAGTATTATAGTGTAAGAATAACAACATGTCCATGTGCTCTGGTCTACTAATAATAAAATATTATAATTAATAATTAATTTTTTTGGTTATAAAAATAGATTTAGGTTAAGTGAACAATAGCCTTTAAATTGACTTAAAATACATATGTAATAGCAATGAGGCAATAATAATTAGTTCAAACAAAGTATCAAAAGCTATAAATCATATGGTTTTATTGAACAAAACTGTTGTTATAATGTAATAGAGCAACTGGTCTATATATAATTATAAAATAGTATAATATAATCTCTATTATAGATCAGTGAATAGAGCTAATGTACAGTACGCATTACAACAAAGGCCTGCAGAGGGCCCCAACGGCCTGACGATTGTTTTTACACACTACTGTGCGATCTAATACTTGTTTAATATCTTTAATATTTGGCCATTTCTTTACGACAGAAATGCTATAGTCACTGTAATTTACTGAATTATGTGGACATCAAAACGTGTAAACTCAGAGTGGGGGGTTTGAGCTTTTATTTTGAAACCGCGAGATAATGATGTATTCTCCTGTTTGCGTGGATTTATAAACGATATACCTTACAAATCTGACGAAATGGCGCACGTTGCGTTCCCAGATGAACGTTATAATAAATCCAAACTCACAACAACATGCAGAGATGGAGTTTGAGCCACTCCACACACATGTAAATGATAAGTTCCTGTGGAACAGCATTTACTGTGAACGGAGTCGCTGTGAGACGCACGTATGTAACCTATAACTGCATCACATATAATTATTTAATTTAAAAAAACGTAGCGTTTGTGAATTCACAGTTATGCTTAATTATAATTGGCCTTGGAAAACAGTCTAATAATGTGTTTTATGGATTCTCGTCCGTGAAATGCGCCACTAACCGTATTTTGCCGGTTAGTCGAGGATTTTTAAAAATCAAATAGTCGAATAGAATCGACGAATCGCAGCAGCCCTACAGTAAAACTAAAGTGTAAGGCTGAATTAAACTTGAATTTTCTCTCACAGTAATTTTAATTTTGGGTGAATTGTACACAATACAGATTGCCACTATCCACTATACATATTGTTGCATTTTTGTATTGTGATATATTGTAACAAGATATATTGTTACACCCCTAGTAATTATAATATAATTTTACTTTAGTTTTCATCATTAACTCCTCTGTTAAAACGAGTAGTCGTTTTACAGTTTTGCTGATGATTAATTGACTAAGAGTTTCTAACAGTTTCAAGTTCCTGCTAATCACACAAATTAAAGGTCTTTATTTTAACAAGTTTTTCAATTTTAAATTCAATAAAAAGTCACCATTGTTTGAAAGTTTTCACAACATTATTGGAGTCCCCTTCAAAGTGCTTGACAGACCGAAATATGCATTTACGTGACGAAGTCATAGCTAGCTAGCAAACTAATGGTAATTATAGTAACTCATGTTTGAGCGGGCAAACCACTGATGCTAATGCGCTCTATTAGGTGTGTTC